GTGACCCCTGACCTGGATGACTGAGAATCTTCATCAGCAAAATACAACTTGTTTCTCATAATTTTAGGACATAATGTTATGACTTTATTGTCATAATTTTATTCTCGCAATTTTATGACCATTTTCGTTGCAACTTTTTTCTTGTAATGTTACGACTTTATTCTAGTTATTTAATGACTATTCTGTTTGCGACTTTATTCTCACAAGTTTACAACTTTATTCTCGAAACAGAAAAAAAAATCTCTAGCCTGGTCCTAACACTCCGTCATGGTAAAGTCACAAGATGAGCAGTAAAATTTAACAGAAATGTTCTGAAATGTGTTGCTTAATTCCCCTACACCCTTAAATAAAAATAAATAATTTCAGTTTGTTGCCCAATGAGTGAACACTCAGTTATTTGTGTGTCTGTTCTATGAAGACATCAGAGATTTTAGTGAAAAGCATCTAAAACGTGTTCAGCTCCGGAATGAAGAGGAGTTTAGAGACGAGTTAGGTGCTCTGTGCATCTCATTATGGATAAACAACATAAGTGTTCGGGTTAGGGTCCTTCCACCTTGTTTCCTGTATGAAACAAGGAAGAGGCAGCATCAGGCTATGGGTCGCTTTGCTCAGCATCTCTTCCACCTTGCAAGTAGAGTATCTGTGACTTTTTGTCCAGCAGAGGTTGTTGAAAGCAGACAGAAACACTGAGGTTTGCTGCTTTAATGTGAGAAAGTGTGTAAAAAGCTTTGGGAATGTGAAAACTTTTTCACAGCTGCACATGTAAAAGCATTCAGGTTATTGTTATCGCCAAGCTAGACCCTATTTCATGTGTGGAAAGCTGATATTTTGACAGGTAGAAAGGTGGCGAAGTGTGAGAGCAGGTCTTGGCTTCGATCAGCTGGGGAGTCATGCACAATGGATGTGTGTTTTGCATGTTTTGGCAGTAGCTGTAAGGCCCGGGTGACCAGGTGTGGTTCTGGGCAGTCGTCCAATTCCTGAAATTCAGACGAGACACCCGAGCACTTTCACTAAGTTATTTCTGTCGTTTTTTTTTTTTCTATTTCTTTGTTCTTTCTTTTGCTCCAGTGGTGTCGAAGGGGTCAGTGTGTGAAATACGGGGAGCATGGACCGAGGGCCATCCACGGCCAGTGGTCGGCCTGGTCCCAGTGGTCTGACTGCTCCAGAACATGCGGAGGAGGGGTCATGTACAGGGAACGATCCTGCACCAACCCGAGGTACGTCTGCACACACATGCAGGCAGTCATGCTCGATTCCAAAGCAGTTAATCACATTCATTTCTATGCTTTGAACCAGATTGAGTTGCCAAACAGATGAGGAAATAATTAGTCCCATCGCACAGCTGACAAGACTTGCACTTTTAGCAGAATGGTATTCTTGAAGCTCTTTTATTCCTCACGCTTTCTTTTCTGAACACCTGAATGAGCTTTCAGCCAGGTAGCTGTCAGCATGGATATGTGCTCATATTCGCCCTCCCTCTAACCAACAAACACATGCAAACATACAGATACCGACTCTCATCTGTCAGGCTGACAGTCCAGACTGACAGACTGTCTCTCAGTGAGGTTTAGACATAAAAACGTCTCCTAATAGCATGTTTCTGCTTTTCTAGGAAGCTGCCAAGTCTTTCAGTGAATGTCTACTAAAGCTGTTCACTCTTAAGTAGAAGTCCTGCTCTAAAGATGAAGATCCCAGAGCAGCGTATCCCCCCTTCAGCCAAGAGCTCCGTGCATGTTTTCTCCAGCACAGGAGATTCTATATTAATGTCGTGTTGCACAGCAGACATGCTGCAACTTGTTTTTGGAGAAAAAGTATGAAGATTTATTGGATATTTCAGATGTTTGTTTTAGGGTCATGATTTTTGATAACTTCCTTCCTTTTTAAAATCCACAATAATATAAAAGCCTATCCGGTTGGGATGTTATCTTCCCATTAAATGGCCGTTATTAGTGGTTTTCTGTCCCATAGAATGGCTCCAGATTGCAAATTCTACCTATTAATAGGGGCAGTAGCTTGTTATCAACGAATGAATCCTAAACCTGAACCAATTTAATTTTTGCACTTGCAATTTATTAATGTATTTATGTGGTTCTTTATGTATTGCAAAAAAAAAGTATGTATGTAGTTTTTTTTAAAAGACAGAATGAGGTCCGTATGGAGTTAAACATGTGGAATTTGTTCAAAGTAAAGGTTAAAAACTAAAAGTAGGTAAACTGTAAATTAAAATGACGGTTTTAGAGACGGTGAAGCAGCTGTTATCCCCTATAAGCTGCATGTTATCAGCTATAAGAAACCTACCAGAAGGTAGAGGAGCTGCAGTCTGAAGCCATTCTATGGGACTTATAACCACTAATAACAGCCATTTAATGCTTGATCACATCCGAAACGGGTGAAAAACCTTTTATGATGTAATTCACATTTTCATCATGATGTAGGTGTCACGATTTTACTAAAGTTAAGACCCAAATGCTGAAAACCAAAAAGGAAGACCAGAGAAAAGAGATAACGCAGAGAGAAGTGTTGCTCTGAACACTGCTCAACCGGAACTGAAAAGTGAGGGGAAGACACAGCGATTAGTTCAGGCTCAGTGGGAAATTTGATTCGTGAACTTGGAGAAGAGGATCTGGTTGCTGACTCACGTTTCTAGAGAAGTTGTTGAATCTTTGACTCCAGTCTGTATGCTGTAGTTCCCATGTTTGTCTGATTCTGTGGAGGAATGAACAGGGTTTACCCAGAATGCGGTTGTTTGTAGGTGAAAGGAGAAGCTGACTGCCACTCAGATTTCCTGCGGTACTTGAACGGGTCGTAGTGGAGATGAATCCCTTTCTCAGTGTGAAGCTCAAACAATCTCTTGGGGAAAGTGGATCCAAACCTCCTGTAACCCCAGCTTGAAGCTTGAAGCTCTGTTGATCCTTCCAGGGAGAGAAGGTCCGAAAAATCCAGTTTGCAGAATGACTTCCTGCTGAGAGGCAAAGACAAAAACAATGTTAAAACTCAGGTTGACAAGAACTGAGCTTGACTCAGCAAAACTCAGCTTGACTAGAGTACCCAAAGCTGGCAAACACTCTGGCGTCGAGGTAGAGGCAGTCAGCAGCTTAAGAACACGCCGTTAACGGGGAAACCATCAGCAGGTGTGTGAGGAGGCGGACCAGAACCAGGCGCCTCCTGGTGGAGGAAGGGAGACAAACACAGAAACACAAACACACAGACTGGAGTCCTGACAGTAGGAAGGGTTGGGCATCTTTGGATTCCAGTGATTCCGATTCCTTGTTTGGATTCTGGTTCCTATTGATTCTCAATTCTGGATCTTTTGACAAAGTTTAGAAATTTCGAATGAGCCTCCTAAACCTCAAGTGGTCTGAACTTCTTAACGAAATGATCCTTTAAGCATCTAACTTTGTGTGAATGTTACCACAAATTGATTTTGGCTAAACATTATGTGTTTTTTTTTTTTTTATTTAAAGGTCATCAATTTATTAATTCTCAGCTCTAGAGGAGTTTTTTTTAAGTTACATTGAGGGCAAAAAGGACTCTTTGCATTGTAAAGATTGCAGATCCCTGTTCCTGGGCCAAAAAGCTTCTCAAACTCACCTTGATAAACTTCCTCTGCGTTTTTACCAACTGGAAACTTTTATCTCATTTGGATATTTTCCTTTTCAGTGATAATTTAACAGGATAACCTGACCCTCTTGGACTCCTCTAAAATGGTTTAGGAGCAAAAATAACTGCTGCAGGTTTCCAAAAAGTCCATTAGGACATATATATATATATATTTTATTTCCCAATTCTGATAAAGTGCATTAAAGATAACAGAGAAAAGCCCATACCTTTCTAAGCATTAGGTTTATAATGCTTGGAAAGGCATGGGCTTTCCTCTTATCTTCCTCTCCAGTCCCCTTTCTTTTCTTCATTCACTTTATCAGTGCACTCTTTACCACTGGGGCAGACAGACTGATGGGGCTGCCCTGTCCGATTCAGTCGACTCGTCTCCTAATCCCTGCAAAGGATCAAAGACGCTTTCTGAGGCTGTCTGCTTCTCATATGATACACATTATACAGCGTGACTGGCAGACCGAAAAAAGGGCCACAAAGCCTCCTAAACCGCGTTAGCTGTCAAGTTCATTTATCATTCCTGCGGCGTTAAACGGATCTCTGCAGGAGAGGCCGCTGTCTGCAGCTGCTAAACTGTGAGTTTTGGGATCAGCGAGACAAGAGGGTGGACGGAAGATGGTGAGGAATAAATATGAAATCCTATGGGGCCAAGTCATGATATCATTGTTAGCTCATGTTAAGTTTAAGGCCATTTTACACCAAGATAAAGCAGTCACATAAAGACATAAGACTCATCATTAGGTAATTGGTAACCTGACTCCGCCAGATGGATTTGCTCCGCATATCCATCTGGAAACCNTTTTTTGAAAACTCTCAAGATTTGAATAAAGATAGTAAGTTGATATAATGGATCTGAAATAATGCTGAAATAGCAAAAAATGTAAATACAGATCCATGTCTGCCTTTTATAAAACCCAGTTCAAACAGTGAGTAAACTACTATGGAGATTTAGGGCCAGGCTAGGGATTTTTTTAAATTTTATTTTGAGAATAAAGTCGTAACATTATAAGAATAAAGTTTCAATATTGTGAGAATAAAATCGTAATATTACAAGAAAAAAATTTCAATATTACCAGATTGAAGTCACCATACCACAACCCATTTCAGAAAGAAAGCTTGGAGCTCCGCCCAGTTTATGGCGGCCAACCAGCTCCACCAATCAGCAACCTGAGTCCACTTTGACATCCTGCCCAATTTGATGCTGATTTGCTGAAAGGTTTTCTTTATTTGTCAAACCGATGCTAAAGTATAACTTCACATGATGCTCCACATTCCTTATTTTAGGGAAGAAAGTGCTTCTTGTAGCAGTTTTCATAAGATACAACTTTCCGTAAAAGTTCAAAAAATATCCACTGGATTTTGTTTCCACGGTTTGAAGACGTTTCGCTTCCTCTCCAGGAAGCTTTTCTCAATTCAAATGTCTGGATCTTAAGACTCAAATTCACTGCGGATATTTTTTGAACTTTTACGGAATGACTATGACCTGGATCAGGGGTCACCAACCTTTTTACGGCTAAGGGCTACTTCATGGCTACCGAGTCATAGGAAGGGCTACCAATACTGACCTATGAACTGGAGGGATCAGTGTTCACCTACAGTAAATCTCATCCATAAAAACTCTTTTTTATTCTTATTTTATTCTTTTATTCATTTCTAATTTTCTTTTTAATGTTGTCATTTTGAAACCACTGAAATATGATGAAATAGTTAACATGATGAAATAATGCATAAATGATTAAAAGGAAGAGCAACAGAATAAATTTTTTTTTTAACTTAACCCACTGAGTGAGTTGTTCTGTTTTCAAAAGACGAAGAGGGCCCCCCATGTGGTCCTTGAGGGCCCCTTGGTGCCCGTGGGCACCGCGTTAGTGACCCCTGACCTGGATGACTGAGAATCTTCATCAGCAAAATACAACTTGTTTCTCATAATTTTAGGACATAATGTTATGACTTTATTGTCATAATTTTATTCTCGCAATTTTATGACCATTTTCGTTGCAACTTTTTTCTTGTAATGTTACGACTTTATTCTAGTTATTTAATGACTATTCTGTTTGCGACTTTATTCTCACAAGTTTACAACTTTATTCTCGAAACAGAAAAAAAAATCTCTAGCCTGGTCCTAACACTCCGTCATGGTAAAGTCACAAGATGAGCAGTAAAATTTAACAGAAATGTTCTGAAATGTGTTGCTTAATTCCCCTACACCCTTAAATAAAAATAAATAATTTCAGTTTGTTGCCCAATGAGTGAACACTCAGTTATTTGTGTGTCTGTTCTATGAAGACATCAGAGATTTTAGTGAAAAGCATCTAAAACGTGTTCAGCTCCGGAATGAAGAGGAGTTTAGAGACGAGTTAGGTGCTCTGTGCATCTCATTATGGATAAACAACATAAGTGTTCGGGTTAGGGTCCTTCCACCTTGTTTCCTGTATGAAACAAGGAAGAGGCAGCATCAGGCTATGGGTCGCTTTGCTCAGCATCTCTTCCACCTTGCAAGTAGAGTATCTGTGACTTTTTGTCCAGCAGAGGTTGTTGAAAGCAGACAGAAACACTGAGGTTTGCTGCTTTAATGTGAGAAAGTGTGTAAAAAGCTTTGGGAATGTGAAAACTTTTTCACAGCTGCACATGTAAAAGCATTCAGGTTATTGTTATCGCCAAGCTAGACCCTATTTCATGTGTGGAAAGCTGATATTTTGACAGGTAGAAAGGTGGCGAAGTGTGAGAGCAGGTCTTGGCTTCGATCAGCTGGGGAGTCATGCACAATGGATGTGTGTTTTGCATGTTTTGGCAGTAGCTGTAAGGCCCGGGTGACCAGGTGTGGTTCTGGGCAGTCGTCCAATTCCTGAAATTCAGACGAGACACCCGAGCACTTTCACTAAGTTATTTCTGTCGTTTTTTTTTTTTCTATTTCTTTGTTCTTTCTTTTGCTCCAGTGGTGTCGAAGGGGTCAGTGTGTGAAATACGGGGAGCATGGACCGAGGGCCATCCACGGCCAGTGGTCGGCCTGGTCCCAGTGGTCTGACTGCTCCAGAACATGCGGAGGAGGGGTCATGTACAGGGAACGATCCTGCACCAACCCGAGGTACGTCTGCACACACATGCAGGCAGTCATGCTCGATTCCAAAGCAGTTAATCACATTCATTTCTATGCTTTGAACCAGATTGAGTTGCCAAACAGATGAGGAAATAATTAGTCCCATCGCACAGCTGACAAGACTTGCACTTTTAGCAGAATGGTATTCTTGAAGCTCTTTTATTCCTCACGCTTTCTTTTCTGAACACCTGAATGAGCTTTCAGCCAGGTAGCTGTCAGCATGGATATGTGCTCATATTCGCCCTCCCTCTAACCAACAAACACATGCAAACATACAGATACCGACTCTCATCTGTCAGGCTGACAGTCCAGACTGACAGACTGTCTCTCAGTGAGGTTTAGACATAAAAACGTCTCCTAATAGCATGTTTCTGCTTTTCTAGGAAGCTGCCAAGTCTTTCAGTGAATGTCTACTAAAGCTGTTCACTCTTAAGTAGAAGTCCTGCTCTAAAGATGAAGATCCCAGAGCAGCGTATCCCCCCTTCAGCCAAGAGCTCCGTGCATGTTTTCTCCAGCACAGGAGATTCTATATTAATGTCGTGTTGCACAGCAGACATGCTGCAACTTGTTTTTGGAGAAAAAGTATGAAGATTTATTGGATATTTCAGATGTTTGTTTTAGGGTCATGATTTTTGATAACTTCCTTCCTTTTTAAAATCCACAATAATATAAAAGCCTATCCGGTTGGGATGTTATCTTCCCATTAAATGGCCGTTATTAGTGGTTTTCTGTCCCATAGAATGGCTCCAGATTGCAAATTCTACCTATTAATAGGGGCAGTAGCTTGTTATCAACGAATGAATCCTAAACCTGAACCAATTTAATTTTTGCACTTGCAATTTATTAATGTATTTATGTGGTTCTTTATGTATTGCAAAAAAAAAGTATGTATGTAGTTTTTTTTAAAAGACAGAATGAGGTCCGTATGGAGTTAAACATGTGGAATTTGTTCAAAGTAAAGGTTAAAAACTAAAAGTAGGTAAACTGTAAATTAAAATGACGGTTTTAGAGACGGTGAAGCAGCTGTTATCCCCTATAAGCTGCATGTTATCAGCTATAAGAAACCTACCAGAAGGTAGAGGAGCTGCAGTCTGAAGCCATTCTATGGGACTTATAACCACTAATAACAGCCATTTAATGCTTGATCACATCCGAAACGGGTGAAAAACCTTTTATGATGTAATTCACATTTTCATCATGATGTAGGTGTCACGATTTTACTAAAGTTAAGACCCAAATGCTGAAAACCAAAAAGGAAGACCAGAGAAAAGAGATAACGCAGAGAGAAGTGTTGCTCTGAACACTGCTCAACCGGAACTGAAAAGTGAGGGTAAGACATAGCGATTAGTTCAGGCTCAGTGGGAAATTTGATTCGTGAACTTGGAGAAGAGGATCTGGTTGCTGACTCACGTTTCCAGAGAAGTTGTTGAATCTTTGACTCCAGTCTGTATGCTGTAG